CAGTCCGAATAGTTGCTGCCATCATCTTTCAGCTTGGTTTTCTCTAGGAACGCGTTGAAGTTCATGGTGACATGAGTGTTGGCCATTTGATCTACAAGACATATTGCAAAGATTTTAGACTATTGTTCATGATAATAAAGTTCATCTAATCAAATTAATTCAATGAACTCCCACTTAGATTAGACATCCCTCTAGTCATCTAAGTGTTACACGATCCGAGTCGACTAGGCCGTGTCCGATCATCACGTGAGACGGACTAGTCATCGTCGTTGAACATTCTCATGTTGATCGTATCTTCCATACAACTCGTGTTCGACCTTTCGGTCTCCGTGTTCCGAGGTCATGTCTGTACATGCTAGGCTCGTCAAGTTCACCCTAAGTGTTTCGCGTGTGTAAATCTGTCTTACACCCGTTGTATGTGAACGTAAGAATCCATCACACCCGATCATCACGTGGTGCTTAGAAGCGACGAACTTTAGCAATGGTGCTCAGTTAGGGGAGAACACTTCTTGAAATTGTTGTAAGGGATCATCTTATCTACTACCGTCGTTCTAAGTAAACAAGATGCATAAACATAATAAACATCACATGCAATTATATAGTAGTGACATGATATGGCCAATATCATATAGCTCCTTTGATCTCCATCTTCGGGGCTCCATGATCATCCTGTCACCGGCATGACACCGTGATCTCCATCATCATGATCTCCATCATCGTGTCTTCATGAAGTGGTCACGCCAATGACTACTTCTACTTCTATGGCTAACACGTTTAGCAATAAAGTAAAGTAATTTACATGGCGTTCTTTAATGACACGCAGGTCATACAAAAAATAAAGACAACTCCTATGGCTCCTGCCGGTTGTCATACTCATCGACATGCAAGTCGTGATTCCTATTACAAGAACATGATCTCATACATCACATATATCATTCACCATTCATCACAACTTTGGCCATATCACATCATATGACAATTGCTGCAAAAACAAGTTAGACGTCCTCTAATTGTTGTTGCACCTTTTACGTGGCTGCAATTGGGTTCTAGCAAGAATGTTTTCTTACCTACGAATAACCACAACGTGATTTTGTCAACTTCTATTTACCCTTCATAAGGACCCTTTTCATCGAATCCGCTCCAACTAAAGTGGGAGAGACAGACACCCGCCAGCCACCTTATGCAACTAGTGCATGTCTGTCGGTGGAACCGGTCTCACGTAAGCGTACGTGTAAGGTTGGTCCGGGCCGCTTCATCCCACAATACCGCTGAAGCAAGATAAGACTAGTAGCGGCAAGCAAGTTGACAAGATCCACGCCCAAAACAAAATTGTGTTCTACTCGTGCAAAAGAGAACTACACATAGACCTAGCTCTGATACCATTGTTGGGGAACGTTGCAGAAAATTAAAATTTTCCTACGGTTTCACCAAGATCCATCTATGAGTTCATCTAAGAAACGAGTCAAGGGAGAGAGTTTGCATCTACATACCACTTGTAAATCGAGTGTGGAAGCTTTCAAGGGGATGGTGATGAGGGAGTCGTACTCGCCGTGATTCGGGTCACCGACGACCAAGTGCTGAACGGACAGCACCTCCACGTTCAACACACGTACGGGACGATCGACGTCTCCTCTGTCTTGATCCAGCAAGGAGGAAGGAGAGGTTGAGGAAGGCAGCTCCAATGGCAGCACGACGGCGTGGTGCAAATTGGTGCAGCAGTACTCCGACAGAGCTTCGCCAAACTTGTACGGAAGAGGAGAGGTGTTGGGGAGGGGAGGGGCTGCGCCTTGGATTGTGTGTTGCATCCCTCCCCTCACCCCTCTATATATAGGGGGAAGAGGGCAAGAGGGGCCGGCCCTCTAGGGGAAACCCTAGAGGGGGCGGCGGCCAAAGGGAGAGGGGAAAGAGGGGTGGCTTGCCCCCCAAGCTAGGGGGGCGCCCCCTTTAGGGTTTCCCCCTCCCAAGCCCTAGCCACATGGGCCTAGGTGGGGAGGCGCGCCCAGCCCACTAGGGGCTGGCTCCCTCTCCCACGTAGCCCATGTGGCCCCCGGGAGCGGTGGCCCCTCCCAGTGGACCTCCGGAACCCTTCCGGTGGCCCCGGTAAAATACCGGTATGCCCCCGAAACTTTCCGGCGTCCGTTTAACAACTTTCCATAAATAAATCTTTACCTCCGGACCATTCCGGAACTCATCGTGACGTCCGGGATCTCATCTGGGACTCCGAACAACATTCGGTAATCACATACAAGTCTTCCTAATAACCCTAGCATCACCGAGCCTTAAGTGTGTAGACCCTACGGGTTCGGGAGACATGCAGACATGACCGAGACGACCGCAGGTCAATAACCAACAGCGGGATCTGGATACCCATGTTGGCTCCCACATGCTCCTCGATGTTGTCATCGGATGAACCACGATGTCAAGGGTTCAAGCAACCCCGTATTCTATTCCCTTTGTCAGACGGTATGTTACTTGCCCGAGACTCGATCGTCGGTATCCCAATACCTCGTTCAGTCTCATTACCGGCAAGTCACTTTACTCGTATCGTAATTCATGATCCCATGACCAGACACTTAGTCACTTTGAGCTCATTATGATGATGCACTACCGAGTGGGCCCAATGATACCTCTCCGTAACACGGAGTGACAAATCCCATTCTCGATCCGTGTCAACCCAACAGATACTTTCGGAGATACCTGTAGTGCACCTTTATAGTCACCCAGTTACGTTGTGACGTTTGGTACACCCAAAGCACTCCTGCGGTATCTGGGAGTTACACGATCTCATGGTCTAAGGAAGAGATACTTGACATTGGAAAAGCTCTAGCAAAACGAACTACACGATCTTGTGCCATGCTTAGGATTGGGTCATGTCCATCACGTCATTCTCCTAATGACGTGATCCCGTTGTCAATGACATCTGATGTCCATAGTCAGGAAACCATGACTATCTGTTGATCAACGAGCTAGTCAACTAGAGGCTTACTAGGGACGTATTGTAGTCTATGTATTCACACATGTATTACGATTTCCGGATAATACGATTATAGCATGAATAAAAGACTATTATCATGAACAAGGAAATATAATAATAATGCTTTTATTATTGCCTCTAGGGCATATTTCCAACATCCTGATCTAACGTATGTGAGCCCTAGCGGGCTCGCTCCCCCGCTCCCCTTCTGCCTAGCGTTTCCGCGCCGCCGCCGGCGGCTTCCCCCCGCGAAGCCGCCGTCGCCGCTCGCCTCACCCGCTCCCCCGCTCCTCTCCCGTCCCTGTACCCCCCGCGTCGCCTCCCGGGCAAGGCGACCGGGGGGCCCCGACGCCACTCCCCTCTCGCGCGCCCCCAAGCTCCTCCCTCCTCCCGCCGCCGCCAGTGCGCGCCGTCGGGCCTTGCCCGCATGGTGTCGGTGGTGGCGGGCCTGCCTGTCCCCGCGCGCGGCCTCCTCTGCTCGGGCGATGGTGGCTGGCGATGGTGCGTCCTGGCGGCGGGGTTCGCGGGGCGCGGGCGTATCTGATGCGGTGGCGTGCGGTGGTGCGGCTAGCCGCCGGCCTCCGCTCCGCCCAGATCTGGGCTCTTCTAGGCCCCAGCTGGGTTGGGGCGGGCCGGCGTTCCGGCGTGCGGCGGCGTGGCTCCCTGGTGGTGGTGGCGCGGCTTCGTCGGCCGATGTGCTGCAGCGTGGCGGCAGGGGTTGTCTGGATCCTTTGGGGTCCGGCCGGGCCTATGCGGGCCTGGTAAGATCCTGTCATCACGTCCGGTCGGCTCCGCATCGGCGGTGGTGGTAGTCCCCTCCCATCGGCTGAGTTGCGGCTGCCCCCGAGCCCGTTGGCCCCTCGTCCCTCCTCCAGATCTCGTGTCGGTGGCTCAGCGAGACGGCGTTGATGGTTCAGTGACTGTGGTGGCACATGTTGGTGGGCGGCAGTTCTGGTGGAGCACTTCCGATCGTCCGGGATGGTGGTGGTTGTTTGGGTTGGAAGAAATCCCTGGTGGCTCGTCCATCACCGACGCGGTGACGCCTGCGGGTGCCGCCGGACCTTCCTGAAGGGCGTCGGATCTGCCTCTTCCCCACTACCCTCTGTGTACCGGGGAAAACCCTTGGACTTGTCCGGGCAGCAGCGGCGTCGTCGTCGCATTCCTTCCTGAAGGTGCTGCTCGGTACGCGATGCCTCGGAGTGCTAGAAGCGCGGTGGTACTTCTCCGGTGGGTGCAGCGGTCACTGGTCATCTTTGTTTCATCGACCTGCCGTTGTCGGCATTTGTTTCTTTTTCTTTTTCTTTTTCTTTTCCTTTGGGCGTGCTTGTGCTGCTTCCGCCCCAGCACCTATCGTTGGTTGTATCGGATGGTTGCTTTATAATACAAAGCGGGGGGAAACCCTTTTTCTCACATCTAATGTCTGTGACCGATCTGGTGAACTCTTATTAGAATAGTTGGATATCCATTATTGATGGATCTTCAAAACTGCACCTAAAACCCTTCAGGCGATAGGTCTGCTGAACTCTTATTACTACCTTTCTCTCAGTTTACAGGGCGTGCGCGTACCCCTAGGTCGTCAATTTGACCAACCTAATACAAGTCATATATTACAAAAAAAATATCAATATAAACTTTAGATGTTCTATTTTCAAACGATATAATTTTTGTGTTATATAGTTTATATTAGGGTGATAAAATTGGCAACCTAGGTATACGTACGTGTAGGACTTGTAAACTGAAACGGAGGTAGTAGAATAGTTGGATATCCATATATTTATTATTACAGTAAATAGTATAAAACATTAATTATGTATAATATTGAATAATTTTTACAATAATATAAATCTATTCTAGAACATCTACATTGCATATCTCATGTCCCGAAAATGAGTAGTTAGCTAATACCATGCCTTTGTATATGGCCTTATGTTGCGGTGTTTATGCAGTTAATGACGATATATTATTAAAGGTAGCCTTCAGTTTTCACACGTCCTAATTAACTATGGAATTCCTATGATGAAACCAGGTACCTTATTGTAGTCGATGATGTATGGACAGCAGCCACATGGGATGCAATCAGATTCAAGTTACCAGAGAATGAAAACGGCAGCAGGGTAATTGTGACCACTAGGATACAGACTGTTGCCGAAGCATGCAGTGTTGATGGAGATCTCATTCATCAGATGAAGTGCCTTGACTTTGATGAATCCAAAAAGTTGTTCCTCAGCAGAGCATTTGGTTCAGAGGACGCCACTTTGCACGATGATCTGAGAAGTGAAATGAACAAAATCTTAAAAAAATGTGGTGGGCTACCAATGGCCATTATTAGCATCGCGAACCTCTTGGCCAGCTACAAATCATCGGAGAGCAAAGATATGTGGGAAAGAGTTTGCAAGTCAATTGGTTCTCAAATGGAGAACAACCCTACTCTTGAGGGCATGAGGCAAATAGTTACTCTCAGCTATAACCACCTGCACTATTATCTCAAGGGTTGCATGATGTACCTCAGCATTTTCCCAGAGGATTATGTAATCGTCAAGAAACGGCTGTTGAAGAGATGGATTGCAGAAGGACTGGTTGCTGAGATCCGGGGTTTGACATTAATGGAGACTGCAGAAGCCTACTACGACGAGTTGGTGAGTAGGAACATGATTGGTCGGGCCGATGATATTGTCACCTGGTGGGATGGGACCGTGGAGACGTGTCGAGTACATGACATAGTACTTGAGGTCATGCTGTCCAAATCCCTGGAGGCTAACTTTGTTAGCCTAATAGGTGGCCCGTATGAAGGGATGTCGTATGGTAGCATGCGCCGCCTGTCCATCCATGGCGGAAAAGAGGTAGCGCCTGTGGACTCGCCATCTAACAAAATTGCAGCATCACATGGTAAGAAGAATGCAATCGAGGGGATGGACATGGAGCATGTCCGATCATTGAGCATGTTTGGCCCTGAAGATCAAAAGAAGGTGCTTGACCGTTTGTGCAAGTTCACCCTGCTCAGGGTACTTGACTTGGAAGACTGCATGGCCATAGAAAACAAACATTTGAGAGATGTCTGCCGGATGTACCTGCTGAAGCTCTTGAATTTGAAAGGCACAAGTATCAGTCATATGCCTCCGGAAGTCGGTGACCTGGAGAATTTGGAGACCCTTGATGTTCGTGGGACGCAACTTGAAGATCTACCGGAAACGGTGACAAAACTAGAGAAACTAGAACACCTGCAAATCAACAAGAAGGCCGACATTTACTTCAGCTGTTGGAAAGCAAGAAAGGGCCTGGGTAGGATGAAGGCACTACGGACGCTGAATGTAGTAGTTTTCGATAGTGATGCTGATGCCGCCGAAGAGCTCGGTGAACTACAACAATTGGGAGAGTTGCGCATGAAAGTGGAAACTGATCCCCTTCATCTGGATGTTAGGCAAAAGCTTGCCAAGTCCCTGAGCAAGATATATTCCCTGCGGTGGCTGAATGTTACCGACCATGTTAGGGACGGTCAATATTTGGACTTTATACATGACATCAACCCACCGCCGCGGCTCCTCAGGTATCTTAGGATCGGCTCCGGCATTAGCAAATTGCCTGAGTGGATCCGGTCACTGAATTATCTTACAGAGCTTTTCCTTTCTTGGACATACTTGGATGGTGACAAACTGTTTGGCCCAGTATGTAAGCTGCCAAATCTGTGGCACATACACCTGGAGGCTTGCTACTACGTGGGTAGAGAACTAGTTGCAGAAACTGCCCACGACTTTCCAGCGCTCAAGTATCTGTACCTGAACTTTGATATTGAAGGTATGGAAGTTCTCAGATTTGAGGAAAAATCAATGTCAAAGCTCGAGAAACTCCAGGTGAGGTTTCTACACAGAGAATCTAAGATAATCCAAGGCATGGAGAATTTGACAAGCCTTAAAGATGTGGTGCTCGAAGGAAACAAAGACAACCCTGCATTGGACGGTGCAGTGGAGCAATTAAAGACAATGAATACGAAGCGCCATGAATCCAATCATATCAAGGTTCTAGTTAAATACGAGACCGTGCAGTGGCTCGGTGTGTAGTTAGATGTTGTGATCACTCTGTTTTGTCACTCTGCTTGATTACAGGAGGTTGGTTTGGTTCTCTTTCGTTCAGTGTCTGTTTCACAAGTGTTCTTTTTCAAGGTTTTTCTTCAGATCTGTTTACTACTTTCCTGTAAATTGTTGTGATGTCGTTTGCTTATTACGTATCATGTAAAGCTAGCTGGGGGTCCTCGGCAGCTTAAGACTTGTGTTTGTTAAACACGAATTATAATTATGTAATAAAGGCAGTGATTGCTGCAGTTTGTACTGCTGTTGCTTTCTTGGACATTGATTTATCTTTCCAACAAATGTACATTTCTCAACATCTGTTTGAGATTCACAGGCAGTCAGAGTTCATTGGTTTAATTATTGTTATTGTTCTCACCGGTATTTCATAAGCTTGTGGTCCAAGAATAGGATCCTAACTCAACTTAACCAGACTCGTATTGTAAATAAGCTAAAACTAAAGAACCAAACAATCAAGATGCCACCCTTGTACAATTCAAGCTTGTCTGAGCACACCACAAAGAAAGCAATTATGACAAACAAGGGAGATTAGTCGAGCGTACCAGGCCTGCAACAACACCTTTTAGCATGCCAATAGCTTGCCTCGAACACAAACGATACCCGTCCGTGTGAAATATAACTGTCACAATATATATGAACGAATGGTCTATGGGTGTTGTAGGAAACACTGAACTCATACAGGATTTGTTGACACACGAACACGTCACGTGTACCCTCGACGCCTGGGGTGATGCACCGCAGCTCACGTCGAAGGAGACCCGACCGACAGCGCGATACGCAAGACAGTCGGCGGGTGCTTTTACAGACCCGAAACCCCGCGCACCCGGGAGGGACCCCGTCAGGGATTGCGGCGGCTATGGGCTGCCCTAGGTCGATTCGCTCACCCTTAGAGCCTCGGGATTCGCAGCTCTCAAACACGAAGAACAGCGAAGAACGAGAGAGAAAAACGGTGGAGAGATAAAACGTAGACAGGAAAAAGTAGTATATTGATTTGTTCGATTGTGTGTTGTTTCAATCGGCCGTCACCCCCAACATATATAAGAGGCGGCTGGACTTCCCGTACAAGAAAAGGATTCATCTAGGCTTTCTTTACAAGAAAATTACATCAATTCACGTCCAAAACCCTAGTCAAATTCGGACTGGTTTTGTCCGAACTTTCCAAAACTGTTCGGTTTAAACTGACTGTACATTGCGGGTCTTTTTTGTGGTGGTAAACGATCTCGGATGGAAACGAGCCCAAAAGCAATCTTGACCGTTTCGACGATACGAAAAACTTTCATGTTGAACGTTTTCTGATTCGAGGCCATCTTCTGAGGCAAAACACTCACGCATTACATCAGACACTTGCCAAAACATGTCTGGTCTCCCGCGTCATATTTCGCCTCTTGAGAGGGCTGCATTCAGATAGCTCTAACTTTTGCATATGAACTCGGATTGAGATGATTTTTATATAAAATTCGACCGATTTGACGAGACGAAGACAATCATGTAGAGAATTCCTTCATCCGAGATTGTCCTGGAGGCTTAATTGACCAAAAAGCACTCAGAACACCTAAACATGACAATCTGAGTGTAGTTTTGGTCTTTGACATGATGCCGAATAATTATGGTCCAAACATTAAAGTTGTTCCATTCGGTGATGTGAAACTTTTCATGCTGAAAACCCTTTCACTCTGTATCTTGCCAAAATCAGGCGTCAACACATGCCCCCCCTGTTTTTCGGCAAAGCTTGCATGCCGAAAAATAATATGCATAGTGTTCGTTCTAAGGATGATGTCAACACTCCATCGGCCATTTATTTTCCTCAGGGCGATAATTATGTATCGGCCATGTTTGTGCTAAGGGCGATAGTCATATATCGGCCATTGCCTACTCAGGCTTCCTGCCACACACTCGGGTGGTACTTCTTCAAATATTTCCCGTTGAGAGCTCGGGGTAACAATGCCCCTTGTATTGATTCCACCAAATATGAATTTCCGGGAACAACCCTTGTAATTCTAAAAGGACCTTCCCAACTCGGAGACCACTTCCCGAATTTCCTATCTCTTGAACCAATCGGCAGAATCACCTTCCAGACGAGATCACCAACTTGAAAATTCTTCAACTTAACTTTCTTATTGTAAGCTCTTGCAACCCTCAACTTGTCTCTCTCTATGGACTTCAAAGCAACCAAACGTTTATCGGCAACTTCATCAATATTGTCCATCATCAAGTTATAAAAGTCTATTGCCGATAAATCATTTTGTTTGGCTATTCTCAAAGCATTCAAATTTACTTCCACTGGTAAAACAGCCTCTTGGCCATATACAAGCTCATATGGAGTCACCTTGGTAGCACCATGCCTTGAAATTCTATGTGCCCACAAAGCTTCAGACAACAAATCATGCCATCTCCTCGGATTATCCTCAATCCTCTTCTTGATGAGCTTGATTAAAATTTTGTTGCTAGACTCAGCTTGTCCATTAGCTTGGGCATAATACGGAGAGGAATTGAGCAACTTTATGTTATAAGATTCGGCAAACTCTCTAATTTGGTGTGACATGAAAGATGAACCTTAATCCGTAGTTAACGTTTGAGGAATACCGAATCTATGAATAATGTGCTCGGTTATGAATTGAATTACCTCCGTATGTGTCATGTTCTTGAGAGGTACTGCTTCAGACCATTTAGTGAAATAATCAGTTGCCACCAATACGAACCGATGCCCTTTTGAAGAAGACGGGTGGATTTGTCCAATGAAATCTAAACCCCAACCTTTGAAAGGCCACGGTTTGATAATAGGATGTAACATAGCAGCAGGAGCCAATTGAATATCACCAAACTTTTGACAAGCTTCACATCCTTTATAATATCTGAAGCAATCATTAATCATAGTCGGCCAATAAAACCCAGCACGTCGCAATACCCATTTCATCTTGGGAGCCGACTGGTGAGTGCCACAAATACCTTCATGTACTTCCCCCATAGCAACTCTTGCCTGGTCCTCATCCAAACACTTTAGAAGAACATCATCGACTGTTCGGCGATAAAGACCATCATCTCTCATTGTATACTTAAAAGCCATACGCCGAACAGCCCTGTCCACCCTTTCACTCGGATTGCACAAGTAATCAACAATGGGCTTTCTCCAGTCGGAATTATCACCTGCACTAGATTTTTTGTTAATGGCCGAATCAGTGGGTTCAGGTTCGGCCTCTCCCATATTGGCAAGACAAGACATCGGTCTTTGAGAGATATGAAACATGCCACGATCAACATGATATCCAGATGCTTGCTGTGCCAACTCATTTGCTTTCCAGTTGTCATGCCTAGATATATGTGTAATGCTAAAACAATCCAAAGTAGAAATTATATCTAGACATTTATCAAGATAAACATTAAGTGATTCGTCCAAACACTGAAAGACTCTGGATATTTGCTGCACCACTAGTAACGAATCACCGTAAGCCTCAATATGTGTAACACCTATAGCAAGTAGCATCTCTAAACTAAATAACAATGCTTCATATTCGTCTTGATTGTTTGTGCAAAAATATTCTAAGCGGCATGAGGCTTCAAAAACAGCACCATGAGGAGATACATAAACAATACCAACACCTTGGCCATTGCTACAAACTGAACCATCAAAGTACAATCTCCATGGCACTAATGAAACAAGGTTTATATCAACATCATGCTTGTCATTAATCCGATGTTCAACAATGAAATTAGCAACAATTTGGCCTTTCATGGATTTTATAGATTCATAAGCCAAATCATATTCAATCAATGCATAAGCCCACTTGCCAATTCTACCACTAAGAATTGGCCTATGCAACATGTACTTAATGACATCGGTTTGACAAGCTACTACACAAGCACTCGGCACTAGGTAATGTCTCAATTTTGTGCAAGCATAATATAAGCATAGACATAGTTTTTCAATAGATGTATACCTTGTCTCGGCGTCCAATAAGCGTCTGCTCAAATACGTAATGGCATGCTCTTTTCCTTCGGTATCTTGAGTCAAAACAGCACCAATAACACCTTCCTCTGCTGTGATATAAAGCTTAAAAGGCTCTGTATGCTTGGGTGCTTTCATTACCGGAGGAGTGCACAAATAATTCTTGATCATATCAAAGGCTTCTTGCTGTTTTGCCCCCCAAGTGAAATTAGCATCATTCTTTAACCGAAGGATAGGAGTAAATGCATCAACTTTCCCTGACAGATTGACTATGAACCTTCTCAAATAATTGACCTTGCCAAGGAACTTTTGCATATCTCTCTTGCATGTTGGAGCCTCCACTTTCTGTATGGCCTCTATCTTTTTGGGATCAATTTCGATGCCATCTTCATGAATAATGAAACCCAAAAATTTGCCAGCTGACACGCCGAATGCACATTTCAAAGGATTCATCTTTAGTCCATACCTTTTCATTCTCTCAAAAGCTAAATGCAAATCGTCCAAGTGAGATTCAAAAGCATCCGATTTGACAACAATATCATCAATATAAACTTCAAGTATGATACCGAGTAAATCATGAAAAATCAAATTCATAGCTCTTTGATACATGGCTCCAGCATTTTTTAATCCGAATGTCATCACTGTCCACTCAAATAAACCAAGGAAACCAGGACATCGGAAAGCTGTTTTGTACATGTCCTCTTCAGCCATAAAAATTTGATTGTATCCGGCATTACCATCTAGAAAGCTAATAACCTTATGTCCAGAAGCATCATTAATAAGCATATCGGCTATTGGCATGGGATACTCATCTTTGGGTGTAGCCCTATTCAAATCTCTGAAGTCAATGCAAACCCTCAACTTGCCGGATCCTTTCTTCTCCACTGGGACAATGTTAGAAATCCACTCGGCATACCTGCGAGGTCGAATGAAATTAGCTTCAAGCAGTCGACCGATCTCTTCCTTGATCCGGTCATATGTTTTCGGATTAAACTTTCTGGTCGACTGTTTATAAGGCCTAAAACCGGCC